GCAAGTACGACAACACAACTCGAACAAACACCACAACAACAAGCAGCCCCAAACGGAAACCCTAAACCCTTAAACCCTTAAACCCTTAAACCCTTAAACCCTTAAACCCTTAAGCCCTTAAACCCTTAAACCCTGAACCCTGTTCCCGAAACCCGAAAACCCCTGCCTCTGCAGGGGGAGTAGTCTCGAGACGATGAGGATGGGTGCAGCGGCTTGGGACTATCAAGACTTCCCGTTTGGGACTTTCCGAAAACTTGGTATCGTATTTTGGGGTCCTTATAATGAGCAGCAAGGAACCATTATTAGGGTACTGCATTAGGGTCCCTATTTTTGGAAACCCCATTGTAGAGGAGGTTCCGGTCCTGTCATGTCTGACCAAACACCAAAAGCAAGTCCATTAACGCTCTCGGCGCAATATGTGGGCTTCGCAAGTGCTGGTAGAGTAGATGCCTTGTGGTTTATTGGTCGCTGCATATGCTGATTAGCACTTGTAGAAAAGCGCGGTCTAAACCCAAACCCGAAACCCTAATATAAGGGCCTAAATAAATACCAATATTATTTTGAGGGTTCATTATCATGATTATAGTATGATGGGCCCCCAAACCCTCTTCAAATTATTAAGGCCCCTACATTAAGCTGTAAATCTGCCTGCTCTATGGTGTCTTATGACTCTCCCGGTTTCACGATCAAGAACGGGCCAGGACCCCGATCAGGAACCCCCCCTCCCCTCATTCAAAAAAAGGAAGCACACCCAAATAAGGGGATGTTTAGGGTTTAGGGGCTTCGGGTTTAGGGATCTACGGTAAGGGGTTTATAAGTCGCCAAAAACCAACCCCAAGTACTGCGGCCACGGCTCAACATGGTTCGGAGTGTAAAGTAGCAATCAACCCCGTCCCCCTAACATTGAACGCCCTCGTCGAATATATATATATATATATACATACTCGCAATGCTTGTCTAATATTCGGCTAGGTGCTATTTCTAGTGTCACGTCCGGGTCTCCTGCAAACCTTTCTCCAAGCCAAGGTTTGGCCTTCTTAGAGAACCCAATACCCCTGGATTAAGGAATATACCTTAAGTCATGATACTAAGGCCCCTTCTAATTTGAGGTATCTTCCTCATTTAAGGGGTATTGGGTTCTCTGGGTTTAGGCTGTCGTCTGATCCCACTTGATCAGAAAGGGGAGGTCGGTAATTCTATCGGGATGTGGGGATGGGCCAGTCTCATCGGTTGGGTTTACCGGATACCAACATCACAGTCGCACATCTTCTTACACCTTCTTCCAGTCCTGTGGGTTCTTATGTTTGCTTCTTCAGTGCTTGAGCATCGATGTTTAGGAACACCAGGCCCGGCGGGTGAGTCGTTTCAATTGAGGAGCTCCGTTGCTGAAGATTGGGGTTTCGAGGACAGCTGCTCCCCGAAGAGTGGCCATGGTCTAGAGCAAGTTCCATGCCACAAATCTTGATACGGTAGCAAGATGAACAAATCTTGATACTGCAGCAAGATGAACAAATCTTGTTGCTGTAGCAAGATGAACTAAGCCCCCCAAAACCCTCCTGAACCTAAAGCGGTTTCTGCGAAGGTCCAGTCCTTGCGGGCGAGCCGAATCGTGGCTGTGACCTCCTCTGGCAAAGCCTCAGAAGGCTGCCGGTTGACGGCTGTAGGGAGGGCCCTAGACAGAATTTAGGGGCTTGCGGAGTACCCGGAGAGCCCAAAACCCGGTTTAGGAGTTAGAGGGTCTAGAGATACCCATATCATATCCATATCCCCAAGAATTCCATTCAATCGGTCAACAAACGGACCAACCAATCACCCGGTCAGCCAGTCAGTAAATCAATCAATCAACCAATCGATCAATCAATCAAACGACCCATCTGTCAGCCATCTATTGTACACACACGTGCACATGTCGGTTTGCTGGGACTCGCTCTTGTGCCCGAAGCCCCTTTCTCGGAGGGGATGCATCTGCTGCGGCTCAGCGGATGCCTGGCCGCAAGCTCCGGGCGGCTGTGCAGGGTTCGGGGTTTAGGGTATGACTGAGTGAAAGCTGAAACTACGATGACATTGCGTTTTGGGGCTTGGTTGCATTGGTCATTTAGTGCTTGCAGTTACTGGCTGCGGCACGTTCCTGATTACGACGACGGCGAGAGCAAGGACAACGAGAGAAGAGGAGGATGACGACGACAAGGACAAAGAGGCTAGGTCGACGACAACGACGGGGTTGCAATGATCAATATTGAACTATGCCTGTAAGCAGTGCTTGCATGTGCCCATGGTGACTTATATGATTTCGATAAATGTTTCAAAGCCCTACATCCGAAGCCGTCATCGTGATACCTGTCTGTAAACAATGCAAGGCGAGGAGGACTCGTGCGGGCTTGGTGAATGGCACGAACATCTTCCTATTTCTTCTATGCTGCTCATCACTGGGTATAGGATTTAAGGTCTGTGATATCAAATGGCGACCACCCATAATACTGCAAACCTCTGCTGGAGCTTACCTAGGTCGAGGGGTCTGCTATATTAAGGACATCTTCGCGTCCTGCGAGACATTTCGGTCCCGCACGAAACACCATTGTCCCGCTTGTGCCAGAGGGACCCCGGTCAAATCAGAGCAGATGAGATCACGAAACATGTCACGAACGAAGACATTGAACTTTCTCGCATACCAAAAACCCAGCATATTCCAAGCAACAGGCGCAGGAACGGCAACAGCGCAGCACCCAGCAAGCAAAACCCTAAGCCCCAAAAACCCCTAAACCCTGAAGGCCTAAATCCGCAAAGACCTAACCCTTAACTTCTGCAAATTCTGAAGGCTTAATCCCGTAAAGCCCTAACCCTCAAGCCCCCTCAACCCTGAAGGCCGAAACCCCAAGAGCCCTAACCCTCAACCCCCCTCAACCCTGAAGGCCTAAACCCGGAAAGCCCTAACCCTAAACCCCCCTAAACCCTGAAGGCCTAAACCCGTAAAGACCTCATCCTCAACCCCCCTCAACCCTGAAGGCGTAAACCCCAAAAGCCCTAACCCTCAAGCCCCGTCAACCCGGAAGGCCTAAGCCTAAATCTGTGAAGACCTAATGGACCTAACCCTCAAGCCCCCTCAAGCCTTGGGGTGTCTTGTACTACAACTTATTATAATAAGGAGACCCCAAAATAGTATGGGCAATTATTTCAGCCCTATCTTAAATCCGAGGAGACTCCAGATCTCACCTATAAGTATAATCAGGACCCCCCCCAAAAAAAAAAATAGTATAAGTAACTATTTTAGGCCCTATATCTTAAACCTGAGGAGACTCCAGATCTCACCTCTGTCCTCGATCTCGTGGCCATCAGAGCTTCGGAAACGGGTCCGGATGAGTGGCTTGGAGCGGGTTATTTTTTGGGCTTCCTAGCAAGGCTCTATTGTTTCTTTTTTGTTGGGGCTTAGGGTTTTATAGGGTGTCCAGGGCTCGATAGTTGTTTAGAGCGGGTGATGTCTAGTTGTGTTGTGTGTGTGTGTGGGGGGGGGG